GCTCAATAATTATTTCTCTCAATCAAGTGCAGCCATGGGATGATTTTGTTGTACAAAGACTTTGTGAACACAAGGTCCAAGTTAGTGTTAATCAGATGTAGCTAAAGTCGCGAACTTCGCATGCGCGATACTGGGACTGGGTGGAGAGTGGTGGAGAGTCTGACACGGGCTAGCTACAGTAGTAGATAGCATGCGGGAGTCGATACATGCCACTCGTTGTGACTTCCTGCGCCCCCAAGGGATATACACAGAGCGAGCGGACAGTAAGTCCAGTGCGATGTGCAATTGGCTTTTCACGGGCATATCTCTCGAACGTATAATAGTCGTTTCAGGAAAATCACCTTTTCTTTTTCAGGCTCGCGTAATTCTGAAGCCGCTGGTATCGCTAATAGGCCGCCTCGTAGCCAGAATAAGCGTCGACACACAGACAGAACGACTATTATACCGTACAAAGTTCAAAGTTCATGTTTGAAAGGCCCGCCCGGGCATGACATGTATACAGACAAGTTAAAAACATGTAGGAAGCATAACACATGACTGAAGAAGGTGGGGTCCATGGTAGTCAAGAGTCAAGTAGAGTGCACCAGGAGTTGTCTCTCTAACTCTGATTCCCACACATCCAAATTATACCATGCGTTAGCAAGACGGTTCATGGCGACAATTACGAGAAACAAACCACTAGTGGGAGGGATATAAGGACCCCTTTTGACAGAAGCTATGGATCTTCAACCGACTGGCGACTTGTATCTGGCGAACATCAGCGTCAGTGACGTATTATAGCAGTATTTAGCGTAACCCTGGCTGCGGATGCGCGCCGAGGGTTAATTATCTTCCGGCATGCAGCTAGTCTGGAGTGCTATATAAAGTGCGCGTTGATTTACGTATGGCATTCCGCTATCATGGCTTGTGGTCTGATTCTGCTGCTCATTTTGAGCATTGCTGCAGTTTGTTCAGTAGGTGAGTGACTGAGAGAGACTGATACATACGACGTACTTAGCTTGCTGTCACTGCAGATGGAGATAACTCTACTGAGTGTGTGAATCAGGAGGAACTGGCTGCTGTTAAGGCAGAGGTGGATCAGCTAAACTCACAGCTACACTACTGGCAGAATGCGACTGTCAACATTCTCAAGGACCACTGCTCCTCCATTAATACAGGTGTCCCTGCTAGTCAGTATAAGAGCTAGTACAAAACAGCCACTATACCCCAAATTGTGACTACATCCAAAGGTCCAGCTCGTGAGTGTGGAAGTGAAGTGACTGGAGACACTGTTCTGATGTCCATTGTGTTCAACATCACACAGAGTATGTAGCCACATGTAGCTCTAGCTATATAGAAGGAAGTAGCCAAAAGACACACACATTAATTTCTAGTGGACATTAACTGGTCTGCACATGCGTGTTTTAGTCATGCTCTTTCATTGTGGACCAAACTGCAGTGTTCAGAGATGTAAAGGATTAGATATACCGTAGCAGCATTTCATTGTTTTCTGTAATAATGGTATAAACTCTAGCCACAGATGACAATACTGAAATAAAGGATTTTACAATCTGTCGCTGGGTTATTAAGTCCTCCAGTAAATCCTTAATTTCAGTATTGTCATCTGTGGCTAGAGTTTATACCATTGCACGCAACAATGCAATATGCTGCTACGGTATATAGCACAATGTCAAGACACAGTTGGAACCTTCCGAAACCCAGCAGACAGCTGTGACCAAATTCTCCTTGACAATCCTGGAACAACCTCAGGTAAGGAGAAACTGTTGTTTGCTGACCAGTTATCAACATAGTGTAATAGTTAATCTGAGATGACACTGTAGTTAATGTAAAAATGCAGGTTACTACTGGCTGCTGAGCCCCACAGGCCGTGTAGTGCAGGTGTTCTGTGATATGGAGAGGGTGTGTGGGTGTGACGAGGGGGGAGGAGGGTGGACGAGAGTGGCCGATATCAACATGACTAGACCCAATGAGAACTGTCCAGCAGGGTTCAGAAAGGTCACTGCCTCTTGCAAGACAATGTGTGGAGGGCAAAGCGGAAGATGCATCAGTTCCACTTTCAGCTCACATGGACTCCAGTACAGTCGAGTGTGTGGGAAAATCATTGGATACCAGTTTGGAAGGACAAATGCGTTTGCTCCTTTTTATTTTAATAGTGGATCTATTGACACTCTCTTTGTTGATGGCATAGTCCTATCTCATGGCTCTCCACGTAATCACATCTGGACTTTGGCTGCTGGACTCAATCAGTTCGACACTTGACCAAGATGGCTGTCCCTGCAATAGTGCTTCCAACAATGGAACAGTACCACCATATGTTGGCAATGATTACTTCTGTGACAGTGGACACGACTCTAATACAGGAACCCCACTGATCTACCTAACCAATGACCCACTCTGGGACGGTACTGGTTGCATCAGTGGCTCCTGCTGTACCTTCAACTCTCCTCCGTGGTTCTGTAAGAACTTGTCCACACCAACTACTGATGACATTGAGCTACGTCTCTGTGTGGATGAGGTTCTTAGCAATGAAGACGTACTCTTTGAAACAGTGGAGCTCTACGTTCAGTGAGCCTCTGGTGTAGAGACTATAGTTAGCTTAAACAGTGTGTGTGTGACTAACATTTCATTAACTTAACTGTGCACAATGTGTGAATTAGTGGTTCTGCCAAATCAAATGTTCTCTTAATCACAAAGCAGCACTATTGCGCTTGTATATATGGAGTGATGCGAGGGATAACATGCAACACACCTTAGATTATTGGATACCAGAGAACATTTTTGCTACACCTGTTGTTGCCCTGACTCACTTTAGCCTTCAAACAAAGTAAAAGAGTTTCATTCGTGAGAAAGTTTATACACAGCTGGGTGCATGCACCCCTCAGAAAAATACTAGCTAGTCTGGTTCTCCAAACATCACAGTGCTGACACTGGTTTGAGGTGCTCTTTCATGTTCTCCGGGAGTCAGGTGCAAATATTTTTCCAAAGGGTGGCAAAATGAAACATGGCAGCAAATGATACTATAGAGTCATATAACCTGTGCAGCAAGAACTATTGAAATTGCTTAGACCGGTCTTGCATATGTACATTGGGAAGGTTGGAAAGGAGTTGACATGCATCCTTTCACTGGAATATACAAGGTGAGAAGATTCATCTATATAGACAGCTGAGATCCAAATGAACTCTTAATTTGCAGAATGCATGAAATACACAATCCTTAGTTTTTCAGTCGCTCATAATTGCTCATTTACTTGGGAGTGGTATATACATGTGTTACTTGTTTACTCCATAAGCCTCATTGAGTGTGACATAGTCACTTTTGCTGGTCGTCGCGTCCACTGGATATGTCTCACTGTGAGCAGTGCTACTCTTGGTAGCCACATGGGTCTCAGTGTTTCTCTTCTTTTTAACGAGGAGTACACATTGTATGACGACGACTGTTATAAGAACAATAATCACAACAAGAAGAGCTGCTGAGGCACCAATCACAGCTGGGTTGGTGAACGCCCCACTACATCCAGGAGAGGTTTCAGAAGAGCTTGCTACTGCGTACAGTTAAAAAGTTTAAGTGCATTAGCAGTGGTATTATATGCTAGATAGCTATGCCTATCCACAGTGTAGTAGCTACTTAACACATAATGTGAGTAATCATGAAACAAAGGGGTCCTTATGTAATGCCACAAACAACTCAGGTTTTTAATGCACCAAGCGAGTGAAATAGTAGTGACCACCCATATTAGTTTAAAAATCAAAGTTTTGCCATAGCCAAGCCAAGTCAAGTGGTGGCAGTGTAACCTGTTTTGCAGTGGTCCTGGAAAATGTTGTTGACAGTCACCCCTTGCCAGTAGTTGATCAGTGAGTGTAGCTTGCCGACTTTACTCTCCATCTCTGCCTTCACAGCAGCCAGCTCCTGCTGACTCACACACTCAGTAGAGTTAGCATCTGCAGTAGTAGCTACATAATACCTCCACCAACATCTTGTGTGTCTCTCTCTGTGTATGTATCAGTCTCTCAGTCACTCACCTCCTGTACCAACCACTGAGGTGGCTGAGAGCAGCAACACCAGACCAGCTATCAAACTGCGAGACATGTCCATACTTCTGTAGCCAACAACTGGACCTGTCTATCTACCACTGCTAACGCACTTACTTTTTTAACTGTACGCAGTAGCAAGCTCTTCTGAAACCTCTCCTGGATGTAGTGAGGCGTTCACCAAACCCAGCTGTGATTGGTGCCTCAGCAGCTCTTCTTGTTGTGATTATTGTTCTTATAACAGTCGTCGTCATACAATGTGTACTCCTTGTTAAAAAGAAGAGAAACACTGAGACCCATGTGGCTGCCAATAGTGGGACGAGTAGCACTGCTCACAGTGAAACATATCCAATGGACACAACGACCAGCAAAAGTGACTATGTCACACTGAATGAGGCTTATGGAGTAAACAAGTAATACATGTATATACCACTCCCAAGTTTATGAGCGACCTAAAAACTAAGGATTGTGTATTTCATGCCGTGTATTCTGGTGTGGTTGTTTCATTTTGTCGTAATTAACTTCTCATTAGTGATTTATAAATTTTGCCCAAATGAGGCACCAGAACTTCCACGACTGGTCTCCAGGTTATGTAGTGAAAGTGTTCTGTGACATGGAGAGGGTGTGTGGGTGTGATAAGGGGAGTGGGGAGGGAGGAGGGTGGATGATAGTGGCCGATGTCAACATGGTGCATGTTTTAGAGCCTAGAACTGTCCAAGTCTTCTGGCAAGAGGATGTGGGACATCAAATTATGTTACTGGAATCAGTGGAGTAGGAACAAGGGGGGCCAGGGGGGCCAGTGCCCCCCACCCCCCAATAGATTTCATGGTGGGCCTGGCCCCCCTAATTTTCTATATGCAGTGGTCTAGAATTAATAAGTGAAAGCATGGCATTTTTGGCAAACAGGAGCACACTATTACTGCATCTGCACGAGCCATTCCAGCCTATTAATTATAACTGCACCTTTGAGCCTGAAAGAGTTGAAATTTTTAATTGTTTATTGTGTAATTATACATTCACCTGTTAAAACTATACTTTCATGAATAAATACATAGGTCAGTCTCTTCCTGGCCCCCTCAACCACTTGAACGTTCCTACTCCACTGTGGAACAGGAACATGTTGATGGGCTGATGTTCTAGAGTCAAAATGAGCATGCGTGCATTTCACGTTACTTAGTTTCGTGCCCAGCACCGGAGCCATCTCTTGAGGGCGGGGTCTGGGCACGAGACTATACAGTAATCTTCGAGATGGCCGGTATATACGCGGTACACACGTACATGTAGGGCGGCGGGGGATGGATGGCGAGTGATATCTCACGTGATCCGCGTACAAAACGCCTCGAAAACTCGCCGCGCCTAGCTATGCCTATAAATACACCAAAAAATCCGTCACGGGGTCATATCTACCTATAAGTTTACATATGCTCAAGTTCATACGTCCCTGCAATTCTAGACACGGGAATCCGCTCATACGAGATTTCACGATTTTCGTGTCATTCTTCTTTAGACCCGCTTTCTCCTTACTGGAACAGGGTGATGCGCTGAATTTCTCACTACACGTGTCCCGCGATGCTGTAGATGTGCATCATCGTAATATTATAGCGCATAATAATTATTTTTCATCACAGTTGGGTGTAACCGCAACCACTCGAGATAAGTGGTTGCTGAAATTCCTTTGGCCCCTGGAGAGGCATAGTTAACCCTCGGCGCGCATGCGCAGCGAGGGTTACGGTAGTTGTCCCGTAAGTGTGTCTGTCAGTCTGTCATTCTGTCATTCTGTCTGTTACCACGTTTTCTGCCACCGCGCGCACGAAATCAGGTAAATAGCGATATGATCGGGTTCAGTGCTACACTGGGTTGATTCTAAAAAAGGCGATTTTTGTAAAACTACTGCGTTTTAAAGTTATGGCGTGAAAACCAAGTGAACAAGCCAATATGGTAATTAGCACAGGCTTACCTCGACTGCGTCCGCGCGCTCTGTGTATCTTGAAGGCACAAGAAGTCACAACGAAGGGCATGTATCGACTCCCGCATGCAATCTACTACTGTAGCTAGCCCGTGCCAGACTCTCCGCGAGCTACTAGCGCGATACAACGAGTAAAGAAATGAAAAGCCCAGCCCATCAATTAGTGGTACCGCGCATGCGCAGTTCGCCGAGGGTTTGCACTTTAGTGCTTTTCATTATTTATGTAACCAGACCCTTCTCTCCCCCCTCTTATCATACTGACCCTCATAAGAAAGGCAGCTGTTAGCCCAGTTGAAGAAAAAGGTAATGCAGACAGACCTGACCTGTTGTCCGAAGGATACCCAGTTGTATATACTAAGAGTTGTGGGCCTCTGAAGTGTTTTTTCTGCCCCTTATCACCACTTCTGAGTTGTACATTCCTGCACCATTATCCCACTGCTGACCTAGCCTTTACTCACTACCAATCCTATTGTAAGCCTACTATCCATTGTAAGCTTAATCCTTACCTTGTCTGGCTACTCCTCTGTAGTATGCTTTGTGTTTCACTTTTATGGTGCATACTATCTTTATGTTCAATGGGACTGGACTGCAACTGCACTTCTCAAGCTAGACCAAACTTCTACAAACTTCTGGCTACTACTGCCCACTTGCTACTAGCTATATATTATATACACCCCTGATTTGGCCTCCACCTTTGACTTCAGCTGGATATATAGACCTCTCCTAAAGAAAAACTTTCCTTCACACCAAAGCACATGTAGCTATAATGAATGTTTGGTTAGTTTTGTACTTGCGCAAGCACCCGCTATATAGTCTCTCGTGCAAGAAGCGTCAAGGCCATCAATCCCGCCCCCACACTGCGAGTGTGTGTGCGATTGCGATCTGCAATTCAAATATCCACCCACGCGTGTGTGAACCCTAATGCAGTCCCTCGCTCGTCGCTCTGCACCGCGAAGGTTGAGAGCGTGTCCTAAAAAATTAGTGGAACAAA